TGTTACAAAATTATGAATCTGCAACTTTTATTTCTGCAAAAAATGTTAAAAAAATCGGCAATCAGAATCAGAAATCATCGATTACTTTTTTTTTTTTTGATCAGCAAATTTCACATTTTTTTGCAAACCGCAATAATTGACTAATCGACTAGTTTGTATATCGAAATGGCTTGGATATAATTGCGTAGGCATTAATCACAAAATCAATGTATGATATATACTACATAAAACAACTAGTCGATTAATCAACTAATCGATTAATCAGTTAATCGATTAATTGTCGGCAATCGATTAGTTGTCTAATAAAATTATAAACCGATTAGTTGCCAATTCGATTAATTTGGAACACTACCCGGCCCGTCAAACAACTCTTTTTTAAGAAATGCGAGAAATGAATATCGACTTTGCTATTTCGCCTCTTTTTCCATCTTATATAAGAATTTTTTGATAAGGGCTATGTTCACATTGTCTTATAAAAGTTTTAAGCTCAACCCTGAAAAGATATAAAGAAAAAAAAAAATCAAATTTACATATCGAATAAAAAATAGGAATAAACACTATCTGTCCAGATATGGAATTTTAGGTAACGCGAAAATTTCTCATAATTTTTATCCAATCAAATTCAAGATCAGGTATTTTTTAAAATCGCGTACGAAATTGACGTGTTATAGTTAAGGTTAGGATAAACCTGGCGTCTATAATAAAATTTCGCAGGGATCTTTTATTATTAGCCACAGAAGATGGTTTCTTCATTAAAATTTTTTTTTTTTTTTCAGGGGTTTCGTTTCGACTTTACGTTACATCCGATCCTGAAAAGTATAAATATGATAATACGAAAAAGCGGATGTCTAAACCCACTTTGGTGCACTATTTGGAAAAATAGGTTTATAGATCAAACTGTCTTACATTAATTTTAACCTATAACCTTAATTGAATTATCAGAGAGTCTCAATAATTCAATGTTAGTACTTGGCAAAAAGTTAACAAATGCAAACACATTACATAATTGTTTTATTAAAATTTGTATAATTAGTGTTATTCATTTTTATTAAAAAAGTTGGTTAAAAAACCAGACAAAACAATCGATTAGTAATTATAAAATAAACCAAATCTAAAATAATAGCATGGTAATAATTACTAAAATTTAAATTCAATTTCATAATAGAAAAGTTCATAAACATTAAAAAAAAAAAAAAATCTAAAAATTATATTTCTAATTATAATTTTATTTTTAATTATAGCATCTAATTTATCTAAACAATGCTTAATTATTGCATAGATATAATGAACTTAACTGTGTTAGACTTCCTACATATACTTCAATCTATTACCTGCTTGAATAAATGTTTCATCTGATGAATAAACATACACTTTCCCCGAAGATACTCCGACAGTCATCAAACTCAAGTCTAAAAAACAAAATAGTTATAATAAATATGAAGTAAAATTAAAAAATAATTAAAAAAGATAATTAATAATTGCCTGGTGCCATCTGAATTGACGTAACAGGACTATCATGATGTGAAAACTGGTGAATCATGTTGTTGCCCGACGTTAATGAAACATCCCATATTTTTACACAATTATCGTTTCCTGCACTAGCAAGCATGTTACTATCAAAAATCCATTGCAATGACATGATTCCATCATGTGGTAAACCATCATCTGGATCTTTTTTTTTTTATAAAAAGATTAAGACTTAAATGTAAAAAAAAATAATAAAAAAAAGGTGTATTCAAATAATAACTCACTTTCATGTCTTAACACATGAAGACTTTGCTTTAAATATCGTTTATCATATACGTACACAGTGTTCATCACCCCACCAAGTGCAATATATTGATCATTAGGCGAAATTGATATAACATTTATATCCTTTTCACCAGTAAGTGCACATAAAGTAGTTTGAGACAACATATCCCATATATGCATAGAGCCATCCCCTTCTTCGAATTCTGCAGTAGTTCCACATGTAATCCATTTTTCTAAAAAGAATGCAAATCGCAATCATGAAAATAAACTCTATATCAAACAATCAAAGCCATTTAGAACCTACCATCGTGTGAAACATCTAAACAACTAACACTACCAGAAATTGATTGTTTATTATAGCACGCCTTCTTTCTGCTATTTATATCCCAAACTTTAACTACTCCAGTATAATCATTTGAACTACCATTATATCCTGCAATAACTTTATGACTTGAAATAAAATTAACATCACTTGACACTCTCTTACACTCTTCCTCAATAAATTCTTGTGATACCATAGTAAATGCTTGTTTTTTATCACTTCTTATGAAGTGAACTTGAACCAACCTACATTTCATATAAAAACTTTATAAAAAGATATTAAAAAATAATAACATGCAACAAACATGCATACCCAGAATCTTCGCATGATGCAAATTGATATTTTGTTCCATAAGTTGGTTTATTACATACTGATATTCGATGTATTTTCGACTGGCAAACTGTATAAAAATTTTATATAAATATAAATACAAAATAGTTCCAAAATTTTTTGAGACATAATGAGTGATAAATTATGCACCTTTTGTATTAAAAGGCTTTAAATAAAATTTTGCATCACCAGTTTGCCAAACCTAGCAGAGTGTTATTAACAAAAACACAAGTTTGTTTAACAATAAATAATAACCTCGTAAAACTATAAATAGGATCTACTAATAACCAAGTTACCTTAATAGATGCATCAGTAGATGCTGAAAAAATAAACTTTCCATCCGGTGAAAATTTAACATCTGTTACCGTAGTCCAAACATCTACAATACAATAAAATCAATAGGACCATGAGACAGAGTTCAATATTTAACTTTCTTACTTTAAAACCTACCTAGCTTTGAACTCATATCCCGTTCAATATGGCCCCAAAGATTATAAACTGCCCCTAAAAATTATTTATGATAAATGAGATATATACTACTAAATGCACTACCAAAAAAAAACCCCCCAAAAAAACACATTTGTACCCTGTTTAATATCAAGAAATTGTAAATTTCCAGGGGAGTTATAATCGGGATCTATCAATAATAATATTTTAAAACGTTAATAATGTGATTGATATAGTAATAACCTTATATAATAATACATACCTGCATTTGCAATATATCCCATAGCCACACTTGGACTGTTTAAAACGTAATATTAATAAAGCAAACACCGATTAACTGTGCAAGGGATAATAAAATTAACATACGCTGAAGGGTTGCTACAATTCAAGGCAATTTCATTCACATCGCCGCTTCCACATTTGAAATTGTAAGATTTCAATTGATTTAATCTATGAACAACCCGAGACTCCGCTGAAGAAAACTAACATAATAAATTTATCTCAAAAAATATGTAAATATGCGAATAAAATATTTTGTACCAAAAATTATAACATACAGTCTTGGGCTCATCTGATATGTTTAAAGCCATATAAGAAATGACTGTCACGGTGTTATCAATATCATATAATGTATCGTCCTATTTAGAAATTGAGCATGGTAATCTGAGAAATGATCAATAAAAAAAAAAAAAAAGTTCTAACCGTTAAAAATAACTCACCAAATTAACTTCTTGTTCCATTGCCATTTTAATCTTGTAATCACGTTTTTCAAAGAGTAACTTTTTTGCAATGTCTAAGATGCGAAAAACATTACTAACAGCTAATAATTACAAGCAATATACTTAAAGAACGTATAGAAAATACCTTGTTCTTTGTCATGTTTAAAATAAAGCTGTAAATATTGATCACCTAATCAGCATCAATGATGAAATGTTTATACTTTAAAAGCAGCTAATTATTAAAATTAAAAGCGCAGCATACCGCTTTAACTTCAATATCCTGGAGAGATACTGATTGTACTTCTAATCTTGGTGTCTGAGTTGATTTCTGTATCTTTTGTGTTGATAGGTTCTGATTTTCGATTTTCTGCGAGTTCGTAACCGTATCTAATTCTTGTTCTTCTGAATTTGAGAAATCGATTCTTTTATGACTCTCAATAGCAAGCGGCTGGGCTACTTCTTGTTTAGCTACTGTACGAGTAGGTGGACTAATCGTCAAAACATCATCCTCCTCATCGCTCGAAATGAGAGATATTGGATTCGATATGCTCCCGCTATCAAAGTGTTCAAGTAAAATATTTTTATCCTCATCAAATGATTCTATCTGACTTTGATATTTTTCCCCTCGAAATTTTTTATCCAATCGTTGTGATGGCGATTTTGTATGTACAAATGTATAGCGTTGCAATACAGTGGGAGCAGAACGTTTCATCGGGACAATACACGCTTTATTTTTTACCGGTCCGCTATGAATTCGGGGCTGAATGCATTGATTAGTTAAATATTGATTGTTGGTCAGTTTTGCACAAGATTTTTTGGATTTTTTGGAGGACTGTGAAGTGCTATGTTTTACAGAGGGTATATCTTTTATCATAAATAATGATATATGTTATAGATTAATAAACTTTTTACAACTAAACATTAAACCAAAAAAATTAGTAATCAATTTACCATTTTCATCCAATATCATTAGGTCTGGCAATGATATATTATAGTTAACCTTATTGTCATTTACATTATTGATAGAGACAATATTGCCACGGGAAGACAAGTCATTATGATTTAAAGCCGTCCCAACGCCACCAAAATACTTAAGTTGATCAGGCATAGGAAGTTGCGAGACATCCTGAGAGGTTATGTTCGAGTTATTAATACTTATAAGATCTAATGACTTGAAATTGCTATGTTTCTTGACAAATGTTGAAAGCTTTGAATTCCTTAATTCTGATGGAATCTCAAAATCGGAGCCAAGCCGTTTTATCTGAACCACGTATTCATTTAATTTCTCTAGGCATTTATCCCAGCTAAATTCATATATAGCACTCTGAACTGGATCGCTTTTGTAAAGAAGGTATTTCTTATAAAGTTCCGATAGCTCACTAAGTTGCAACTTTGCATTGTGTATTCTAAAATCATTAGCCAAAGATTAGAATATTTAAAATTTTAACTCAAATGGAAATAAGAAAAAATTTTTACATAGGTTTAAGATCCATAGGGCCCGGGGAGTTATAATGGTTTCCGACTGAATTTACGTCAATATCAATCGACGTACCTTCCCGTGTGAAGTCCATGTTATCTCCTTTATGATATTTTATAAAAAGGACATTTAGATAATTAAATATATTAAATTCTAAATATCATTTGTACCTTTGACTTAACGATTAATCACTCATTTATGAAGAGTGTATTCGAAAGCCCAAGGAGATAACGCGTCTAAGTATGTCCAAATTTTCAAGTTGAAAGCTATCATATACAAGCTTTTCAGCAAGGTACTTTGACGCAAGAAAATAGACAATAACCCAGTAAACGTTTGTCAATTTGACGCGAAGTCAAAATAACAGAAGCAAGTTAATAAACATAAGCCACCATAATATATCATTACCTTTAAAATACTTCTTAAGTTATTTTTATGGGTTTTTTTATTTTATAATATGTAAAAAAAAAAAATAAAATAAAATAAAAAAAACGAAGGTTACAAAAAATTTAAAACAAAAGTTTTAAAATTTCGCGTTTTACGCAAAGAGAATTTTAGTTTAGAATAATATATATATTTATATATATTTATATATAGTAAAATAATTATGAGGTTACACTATATAGTGAAATAATGAACCTAAACAGATGAGTAATGGTAAATCGCAAAATTGAGGTCTATATAGCATAACAAATTATATAATGCAGAGATTGCAACAGCAAAACAATCATCGGATTTTAAATGTTGATTTCCACATATGAATTTATATATAAATTCATACTAATCAAGGTATATTTTCTTATTATTATTATTATTATTATTTTTATTAAACTGTATTGTAACTCTACAGTAGATTAGCACTACAATGAAATAGAGTGATAACTTTTAACGATATTACAGTATAAAAAAATCTGGATTAAAGAACTAATCTAAAACTGCAGTTTAAGAAATGCATAATGCAATTTTGTCTGCTCGCTGGATAAAAAAAAAAACATATGTACTTTAATTAGGCGAATTAGTATGTAAATTCAACCTTTAAAAATTCGATCAACATATGGTACCTTAATCATTTTTTGATTTATTAAGTATTGCACACCCTGAAAACACTGATCTAAGCTATTGTTAGATGAAAAAGCGCCAATTTATAAGCTGCAGGGATGATTGTAATCGATACTAGTAATAAAATTGATTTGATAGTTATCTTATTATAAAAACTACATATCACTAACATAAACTGCCTGCGCACTTATTTATATGACATTAAAAAAGAATCTTAATTCTGTTTTTTGCATATAAAAACTATATATTTTTAAAAAAATAATTGTATTTATTTATTCTTATAATAACGAGTTACAAGCTATACAATATACTCTAAAACATATTCACATATACAACTAATAAACAAACTACTTATATTATTGTGTACTGTTTGCATCAGGGTTGGGCAATTGGACAAGTAGGTTGTCCAATAAAAATTTAAAATTTCTAAAATTGTCTAATTTTTTTTAGAAATAAAATTTAAATTTCTAAAACTGTCTGAATTTTTTTTAGAAATAAGAAACCTCTGTTCAGTCAAGCAAACTAAATAATTAGGACAATAATCTACTACTAATTTTTATTCTATATATAGAGGTGAGTTAGTAAAAAAGTGACAAATTGTTTTTAGTAAAATTTTTTTAATTTTTAAATTAAAATATCTCAATTGCTATTTAATCAAATTTGCTAAAAATTTTTTTAATTTAATTTTAAAATTAGAACTTAATTAGACATTGCATGCTGCGATGTGCTTATACATCACCTTTTAACAATTGACCAATTAAATTTGAAGATCAGGTGTAACATGCAAATTA